CTACCCAGCTGCTTGCTGGGTTCACAGGCTCAAGCCACCTCAATTGGCTCCTAGAGCCTGAGCACCATGCACCAACCCATGCACCATTGAGGCACAGGCAGGGTCCCGAGGACAGTCATCTCCAAAGCTCCTCTCTCCTCACCATCCCTCACCACATCTCTCTCCTCCAGCATGCTGAGCACGCTCTCCTTTTACACACTTCAGGGGCTCGACCCCTGAAGTTCTCTGGACCTGGCAGGGTGTAGTCTCAAACCAGGTCCAGATTGCTCCTTGCCCCCTCCCTTTGGGGAAAGGGTATGGTCTTGCTTACCCTGGCTTGTTTCTGATTGGTGGATGGGCTCCACCAATCACAACTGCAGAATCTCAAGCCCAGGACTCATCCAGAGCTCAAAAGGTAAGTCTGTTACATAAACACAAGTACTACCCTATGGTGACATTATTTAGTGTGCATGTGTAGATGCTGATGGGGCTGGTTGGGGCACAAGGGTGCTTCAGTGAGGGAGCTGCCTGCCAGCTAGCCCCACACTAGAGAACCCTCATGCCTCAGCCAGCCCCTCTACAGTATGATGAGCTGGGTCAGGGCAGCCCCAGGCTGGTGAGCTAACACCCCCCACCCTCCCACCCCCCATTCCCCTACCAGCCGGCTGTGCTTTGACCTGGCTCAACATGCTGCAGTCTCACACACACGTGTAAATGCAATGTCTGGGAGCAATTAATTTCACATGTAGATGTACCCACAAACAGTAACATTTTTGTCATATCAATAGCCAAAATTCCTTGTTTTTATTTTCCAAAACACCCTGAGCACTCACCCACATTGTAGATCAATAGATTAAAAACAAAACATTAATGGGTATCTCACTGGTTTGGGTTTGGAGGAGCACAGAGAAAAAGCAAAATTTAATGGAAGGTACATAGTTAAAATATTGCTTGGATTTGCACTGGTTACCTATTGGTTTCCAGAGATAGATAGGGATGTTAGGCTTTTGTCTTTAAAGCTTTCTACCTGAAAGTCCAAAGGCAGCAATTTCAAAACTGCCTAGGCAATTAGGTTTCTAAGTCTCATTTTCAAAAGTGACTGGCATTAGGAGACCACATTGCATGGAGAGGCAAATAAAACTAATAAAACGTCACTTTTGACATTGGTTTGTGATTATAAACTAAATGTTGCTTCTAATAAAAAAAATCCAGAAAATATGCAGCAAGAGCAGTGATTCTTAATCAGGGTGTCCTGGTATCTTGAGATATTTTCCAGGGTGGCATGGGATGCCATGCAGTGCTAGCACTGTTAGATGTTGAAACAGGATTAACAAAATAAGCTCAAATATTTCAAATACAACTCTGTGAAATTTAGGGCTAAAAGAGGATTTTGATTTGAAGCTAAACTGAGCTCTGCTGGTCTCCAAATGTCCTATGCTTGCTGTTCCTAATACTAGCCAAAAAAAGCAATCTAAGACAGACAGGTGCCAATCCCTTTGATCAGCTCTGTCTTGCTGAATAGATACTCATCTTTTTTTCCATCAGTGAAGAGGCTTTTGGGTGGGGCTGAGGCTAGGGTGGGGGGGAGGGGAACTCAGAAAAGAAAATAAAGCTGAGCTCTGTGAGAAGAAATTAAGTAAAGTCCTGACAATATCCAGCTCACTTGCCCCCTTCCTTGCTAAAATTCAAAAGCCAGCTCAGCTCCCACTACTGTTGATTTCACATACAAGTTAAGGAGCACTGGAGGAGGAGACAACCAAGAGTGGTTTCTGCATTAAACAGAGTGACAGGCTGTAGAAGCCAAAAAGTCAGAATGATAAAAATAGTACATATGTAAACAAAGCATATGGAGAAAAGCAAATGCATTGAATTAGGATCCCAATGCTCATGAGAATGGAAAGACATCAACAAACTATTAAAACATTCTACTTGATTTACTGTTGACACTCAAGACAGACAATGATTCACTGCAGTGCTAAATTCAAGTATTATTTATTACTAGCCTCTGGCCTAGAATAGGTCTTGGAGCTGTATCTCTGAGGTTCACATTCTCTCTGATATTTATAGCCACTAAGTCATGTTTAACTTTCAATTAGTGCAAGGAACAATTCTGTGTTAGTGAATAATACTTATCCTCCAAATGTCAGGTGGATTGTTGTACATTGTTTAGTGTTAGACAATGAGTTTAGAGTAGTAAGTGAAGATTAATTTATCTGACTGAAACAGAAAGGGCAATAGGAAACTATGACACACACTAACTTCATAAAGGCTAATTCAGTGTTAGTCAGGGACCGTGTGTAGACAAAAAAAAGGGCTGTGTGTGCACAACACTTTAAAGCGGGCTAAATGCTTTTGCACTACTTTAACGGTGTCTGTGGTTGCATGCCTCAGTAGCATATTTTACATTAATTCTACTAGATTAATTAATTCTACTAATACTGTAGAGGGGCTGGCTGAGGCATGAGGGTGCTCCAGTGTGGGGCTAGCTGGCAGGCAGCTCCCTTACTGAAGCACCCTTGTGCCCCAACCAGCCCCATCAGCATCTACACATGCACACTAAATAATGTCACCATAGGGTAGTACTTGTGTTTATGTAACAGACTTACCTTTTGAGCTCTGGATGAGTCCTGGGCTTGAGATTCTGCAGTTGTGATTGGTGGAGCCCATCCACCAATCAGAAGCAAGCCAGGGTAAGCAAGACCATACCTGCTGTAGGAAATTCATCAGTGTAATGAGCCTTAAATGACTTGGGGCGCAGCAAAATAAAACTCCTTTGAGGAGTTTTAGTTTGCTGCCCCTACAGCCGCGGAGCAAAGCACCAGGCTCCGTGTAGCTCAGGGGCTCTGCAAGAAGCCCTGCAGGCAGCCTGTCAGCAGCCTGGGAAGGCAGGCTCCACCCAAGAAAAAAGAGGCAAGCCTGATCTTCCACCCACTCCCCGGAGACTACCTGCCTGCCTGCCTGAGCTGCGTGGGGGCCCAGTCCTTCCCTCTGTGGCTGCAGTGCCCCCTGAGACTGCCTAAGCTAGGTGCCTCTGGGCGGGTGCCACCTAAGGGGGGCTGCTGCTGCCACAGAAGGAAGCACTAGCACCCTCCTCCCCCCTCCCTCAGCCCAGGGACTGTTTCACTCACCAGCAGCTCACTCTCCCATCCCTGCCAGAGAGGCAGGTAAGTCAGCAGGGTGTGTGCACGACACAGGGGTTTAATCAGCCCTAAACCGAAGTGATGTTTTTTAAAATCCACCACTTCAATTTAGGGCCCCCGTTTCGTCTACACACGCCAAAAGATGCCAAGCAGAAATCCTTGAAAATGGAATCTCCTTTAATTCACAAAACAATACAGGCAATAATTGAGTAAAGCATCACGAATGAATCTATGTTCCACAACTTGTTTAAAATGAACAGCTTCTACAAGAAAAGATAGTTAAGTTTTCATAACAAAATATAGCATTTGGATTTTTTGCTTAGAAATACCAGACTTTTGGTACCAACTTGCAACATGGACATTTTCCCTCACAGGACTGGAATAAGACCATTTAATCACATGTAACTGCCCACCTTTTAGGTGTTTACATTAACTTATTACTGACCTGAGGTGGATTTGAATCTTTACTATTTAAATTGCACTAGAATCCAAAACTTGCTAGTCACTTTCCAAATACAGAGGGAGACATAGTGCCTGGCTTAACAGATCTCAACAGAGAAGCAGGGATATTGGGAAAAGTGATGCAAAATATAAATAAAGTGATCTCAGTGACAAATAACTGATGGATTTGTGTTAATCTGATTAATTTTTTAACATAGACACATGAAATTCACCATATGAGAATATATATACTCTTTACTTAAATCTGTAAATAGCAAACAGACAGGAATGATGTGAGCATTATTCTTGGTATCTCTACAGTTAGGAAGAGACACATGATAGTTTTAGGGAAAATAACATTTTCTGTATTCTGATACTATCTCTTGTTCAATATTAGATGAAACCTACTCTGGTTTTTTGTGATGATGGTATAGGTGATTATGTTTTGGGGGTTTCTTTTTTACTTGTTTACAACTGTCAAACGGCATCATTCCATCTATTTCCCTTGTTTGTCTCTGTCATAAACACATGCCTTATTTTCTAGTGATCTGATGCCCCTCTCTCAACCCTGAACCCCATACTTCTATGCTAATGAATAACTCACACCATAAGGACTAAGTACAGACAGTTAAAAAGACCAAAGCTGAAGCCATTCAGTCTTTGCAGGTTAGCTTAAGCTGCATAGACTGAACCAATAAGCAAGTGAACAGATATTCATTTTTGATTCCAGAAATGCAGCCATATGCCTGCAGTGGCCCAGGTCAGAAGCCATGAGTACTAGAGCATGCCTCCCTGCTGGGGCAGACAGCTTGCGCCAAGGCTAGCCTGCCTACCCTGCAAGGTGGGGAGCTTGTGAAGAAGGTGCAAAACATCCTGGGATGCTGGAGGACTGTGAGTTAACTTGAATCTGAAGGGGATCTGGGACAGAAGGTCAATAAACCGATTTAAATTAAATCAGTTAAGTCAGATACTACATCCATCCAGGTTTATCTTAAATTGATTTTGGTCATTTTGAATGTGATTTATGTCCACTGAACTTCTGTTACGTTACAGATTTGAACCAGTTTCTGATCACTTATACCAGTTTATATGCAATTTCTGACTCTAGCCACGATATATAATTAGAGATAGTTTATATGACTTTCTCAAATGTTACAAATTAGACGGATTTAAATGAGGCCAGGACAGCATCTTTATGGACCAAAAGAGTAAGGGTGCTTTATACACATGAAGTAATGTGAAAATCATCATCTCAGTGAGCTTTCCAATGGAGAATGGGTGGTAAAATAAGTGTATCCAAGTTTCCAGAGGCAAATAAAGCAAATGCTTACAGTTCTTATTGTAATTTACTAATCAGAGATACACAGTTTTAAGAGGCTAGAACAATATTCGTGCCCGCTGTTTAGTGACTGGAAACAAACTAATTACTGTAATGCATACCAAATGAGGAGGCAGTGGCTGTGCTGTATATGGTGGAGGTGGTGTTTCTGTTATTTCTGGATCATCATGTTCACTCTCACTATAGCATTCTGGAGCATAAATATAAAATGAAAGAAAAGTTAGACACTCATTTATTACTTGAACCATCTTGGTAGGTGAAGATCCTTTGCCCAATGCCAAAACCTCATGAGTCAATGTCTGCTCCAGTTAGACCCAACCAACAGACATTCTATGACAACTTGTTTTATTCTAACCAAATAATTATGGTGAAAATCATCAGAGGGTATTCCTATAAGTAGCCTCATAAAATTCCTTTTTTTTATGTGAATGCACTTTCCAAGGATTTGAGTAAATGCTGTATTATATTTTGTTTTGCAATTTGGCAAGACCTATCAAAGCAAAATGGAAGTTTGCTCACCGCCTTAATCTGACCAAACAGTGTCACTTCTGGAGACAGAGTGACATAGCTCCCTAAGAAATGAGCTGAAATGCATGAAAAAGTAAAATTTCCCACATGCTATTATAAAAACTTTCATTCAACAACTTTCCTCCATATTGTGGAGTAAATAATCTGTACTAATAGAATACCCAGACTCTACATTTTTCATTTAATGGGAACAAGGCCCAAAGACCCCAATATCTGTTGAGTCCCCTGCTGAGTAATAGCAATTTTTACAAAATTAAGGGGGTGCTAATTAAAAAAAATAGCAGGGACAGAAGTATTTACTGTTGCTATTTAGATGATTTTTAAAAGTAGATTAAAACAAACAAAGCATTCACAAGCATTCATTTGTATAGACAGACAGAATGAGATACACTAGGCAAAATAACAGATATGTTTGTAAGCAGATAGTCCTACCGTTACCACAAAATAATGCTGTTTTTCCACTATACTAAAATCTTTCAGCAGCCACCAACCCTGCAAATGTAAACTCTAGCTGAGCAAGTGTATACATTAAAAGACTTTCCTGCATCAACCTCAGAAGAGAGCACACACACACATATATGTGATCTGAGTTTAGGAGTTGCATGGTTAGTTAAATGCAGTGAAAAGTTAAATGAAGACAACATCAGTGGGTACTGTGTGACTAGAGTAACGAATGCCCCTGTGGTTTCAACTGGCGCAAGTATTCTTCACTTCCTTTCCTAAAAGCTGTTGATTGCATAATGTCAATGTGTTGTTAAAGAGGAGCAGCACCAGCCTAGAAGAAATCGTATCTATATATATTTTACTTAACTTTCAGTCAGTTGGTTAAGTTTATGTTCATAAAGTGGTTTGGGATGCTTTTAGTGGTGCCATGCAAGTGTGAAACATTCTGCTAGCATCACCATTTAGTAACTATCAATTATCACAATTTTCAGAGTTATTAATAATTGAATATTTTCTTTCTTTTTTCTTTCCTATGTATATAGAGAAAACTCTGTCATTTTTTTGCATCTCATGACTGTATGATCAGAAAAAAATATTGATAGGGAAAAAAAAAATTATGCAAAAGAAAGATCTCAAAACGATGCTGATGAAGTGATGTTTAGGAGGATGTGCCACCTATTGTGATTTTACACAGTTCCCTGATGCTATTCCTGGTAGAACCATAGGATATTATAACTATTGTTTGGCTTGCTGTAAATATTTGCCAGCTGTGTATCACAGTTTTAAATATAATTTAGCATAAAGCATTAAAATGTGACGCAAGTAGAGGGATTTCACAACTGAAATCCCTCTACTTTGTGTTAAGAAACTATTCACAAATAATTTAAATAACTCTTAATAAGAAAACCTTAATAAGAAAACCTTCTTCAAATTTGTTGTATCTACACAAATGAAACCAGAGAAGCCCTGTTTCTGATACTGTAAATGGATTGGACTGGAGGACTAAATGCACAGGAAACATACAAAAAACAGAGTGGAGATCCAAGAACTTCCTCATATGTAGATATGAATTTATGATCTGTGGTACTCATGGAAGAAGTAAGGTGCTGGAAGTTAGGGTGTCCTGGCATTATGTCAGCACTATCTCAAGCTGTGGGGCATGTCCGACAGAAGAGTGATAGTTGGGTAGAATGGGGGGCCTTCAGTACTGTATATCATGACTTCAGGGAAGCAAATAATTATGTATTGTTTTTGTTTCCCTGAATGGGGGTCCACTCTCAAAGGTTTTCAAAATGTGAGACAATGTTATGAATGCTCTAATGATGAAGCATTGGAAACTTTATCACCATCACAAGCAGTTAGATAGGCAGAGCTGAATGTATAGCTTTCATTAAGCACAGCTGACTTTTATTTTTAATAGCATTCTTATTTTCCTTATTCTTCTCTTACTGCAACTGTTACTACTATTACAATCAACACAATCAAGCATACATTAGCTCTTATTTGGTTTTCTAATATGAAGTGATGACCAGTCAAGTTATGTTCACCATTATCTTTCATTCAAGCCATTCTGTTATTCATGGACAGGTCAAGCAGAATTGGACACTTCTCCAAGTAAAAGGACTAGATTTACCCTACTATACAGTCTAACATTCAACACAGCAATCTTTCCACCACTTTTCCCAGACTGCTCTGCTCCATCAATTGGCTGGAGAAGAGAAAAAAGCAGTCGGGAAAGAGATCAAAAAAGGCATATGCCTGCAGAAAGTTGGAGCAAATTGGGAGTGGCAGTGTTTTGTTACGAGAAAGAACGAAAAACATTCTCTAACCCAATCAAGGTAAAGGAAGCAGAGGGAGACAATGATACATCAGGCTCCCTAGAGGATCATAATCAATCATTTTTATCAGCACACAGCAATTTGTATTATCACAGGACATGGCATTGAGCAAGGTCAGTAAAATTAATGCTAGCATTGTCTGACAAATTCCTGTCTGTAAGTTAACTGTATTTGTGGATGTAGCGGAGGACTTATGTGAATGAAAGTATTAATTTGGTGCCAAACACAAATAAGGTGAGTCACGTAGGCAATGATCTCCTTGGAGACAAGTACCTGTTACCTTATGTCTACAATGCACATTTGCTGTAGTAATAAATAAACAAATGAATGAATAAATAAATAAAAGGATACTCTTAGAACGTATTAATTCCACAAGTATCAGATTATTAATTATGGCATCCCAGTTGGTCTGAAAAATCAAATATTTCAGGACACTATTAGGTTATGGTGCTATTAGAAACCTGCAGCAAGCAATATGACATTAGATTATACTTTAAAAAGAAAAGAGTTGACAAAAGTCTCACTGTATAAAGAAAACTGCATTTGTTCCACGCCAAAATTGTAAATTTTAAAACATACCTTCTTCATTCTTTCCACTGGTTGCCTGAGGAATCACAGCCAGTCCCAGTTTATTTAGCCACCTACAATATAAGCAGGAAGTAAATACATTTGTAGGGAGATTCATATTTTACTCTCCAGTATCTCTTACCATATTCAGGAACGTTACAGATATCACCACAGTTTTTTTTTCATGGGGCACTACGTGCTCAGAAGTGCCATCTTTCAGATAAACAAAGGTACAATATGACAAAAGTCTAATATGACCAAAATCCTAAACTTCACTGGTTTCTTCTCCCAATGCCCATTCCCCGTGGAGTTTTGACACGTGTGAAAAGGGTGCTTGAATACCTGTTACTCCCATTAATTCCAGAAGCCACTCAACACCTCAGCAGAGATATACACTTATCAGCTCACAAATTCAACCCTTAAAAACTAAGCAACTTTAAACTACTGTAAAAATCCCCACATTTCTAAGCTCCTTCTGGGTATATGAAGCACTAACTTAATTTAGATACTGTAACAATTTTCCTTTACAGTTTGGTAATCTTGCCCTCTGATTGAGACCACCCAAGCAGAATAGTACTGGGGCAGTAATTAATTGGAAGGCCTCCCTTTTCCCTTCTTCCCCTCCTCCCCACAAAAAAAATATCTGGTGTTGTAGGGCTGCTGCTGACTGAAGATTGTATACAAATCCCCAGCAGAAAACTACTGAGGGCACTTTGTGGCCAGAAATGCCATCTTTCAGATAAGAGCTAAAACAAAGATTATATAACCAAAATGAATCATGAATGACAATATGAATGTCCTTCTCAAAGGTTCATGGCACTCTTTGCAAGGGCAGGATTGTTAACCAGGATTTCCTGACCAAATTCCAAACGAGCACAAAACATACTACCTTCCTATATTACACATAACTTTTGATTTTAGTAAGCTCCACTTCCTGTGTCACTGTGGGCTGTTAGCAATTGCTGCATTTCCGTCCCTAGGTGGCTGCATTTCCTTAGTGCATGAAGCGATCCCGGGTTATAGTCTGTGTATTTTTCTAATTTATAAATCATTGGGATTCTCTGAGATCTAGGCTGCTGCCTACTCAAAAATGTATTCTCTCGCTCTTCAAACTAATCTACGAGACCAAAGAGATGGAGAGAAGAGGGAGGACCAAAAACTAACTTCATTAACTGTTAGATGATAGCGGACACATCTACACGAGACGTTTACTGCACGGTAAGCTAATTAGCTGTGCAGTAAACATCTTGGCATCTATACAAGTACTATCCTTCTGCAGAGTAAAAAACTCCACAGCAGCACACCTGTAGATGCTGCCCCATCTGGCTGGGTCCTGCCAGCTACTGTAGCCTCACATGGGAACACCCCTGTGCTCCAGTAACCCCTCCACAGCACTGAGTGGGAGGGAGCAGCCCTGGGCTGGCAGGATGACCCCCGGGGCCCTCTGCCAAGCAGGGCTGCTCCAACCCAGTTCAATGTGCTGCGCTCCTGGATGCATGTGCAAATGACAATGAACTCTGGAGTTTATTGCTCCTGGGTGCATGTTCAAACAGTGCACCTGGGAGCAATAAGCTCCAGAGCAATAAACCCCAGAGCTTATTGCTTCACATTAATTGCACATATAGACACACCCAGTTTGTCTCATCTTGGTCCCACTAAGGTCAACATATATATGTGCATAACATTTACACATTATAAGAAGCTATTCCCAGAAAAGCAGTTCCAGTTATCTTTGACCTAACTTCATGAAGATTAACATAATGAACGATAAGAATAAAAACTGAAGGAATTTCAACAGAAGATTCTGGCTTAGGAAAAAATGGAAATATAGAAATATATCCATTGTGTACATGAATGTCACACTGGTCAATGTGTGCTACTATTTACTATCCAACACATACAAGGTTTTTGTTTGTCTGGTTTTTGTAGAGTTCATTTTCTAAAATATGTTCTAAATTAATGAAGCAAATGCTTCATGAATCAACCGTTGATGGTTTAATGGATGGATGCATGAAAGAGTTGTAAGCAAAGGCCCTGATCCTCCAAACAGTTATACACATGAGTAACTTCACACACATGAATGCTTCCAGTGACTTCATTGGGACCAGTCACACATATAAGTGCTTTCAGGATTTGAGCCAAGAGGACAGATGTTTCTCTGTGTATTTTTAGGGAGACAAGGTTCTCTGGGTAAATGTGATATCTTTTATTAGACCAACTAAATAGTTGGGAAAATTGTTCTTTGCAAGCTTTCAGGTACAAACACCCTTCCTTCAGTTGTTGTTTTGTGTGCTCTCCTAGGTGGAATGGAAGCCAGTATGCAAAATACAGGTCTGTGAAAATGCGTAGCAGTGAGAATCAAATGCCCTGTAAGACAACAGGTGTGAGACAGGTAGTTGGCGGGCAGAGAAGGGAGAATTTGAAGGGGTGATAAAATGTAGCTGCTAAAATGCAGACAGGTGACCTGGGGTTATCAGATGGCAGGCAGGTTATAATGTGCCATTAATCCAATGTCTCTATTTAGTTCATGATTTTTTGTATCCAGTAGATTTATGAAGTAAAGTTCATAGACTCATCTACGAAAGGTGTTTTGTAAATTCCATTTGAGGATTAGAACTGAGAGTTTCAAGGGAGGGTGGTTATCTTGTAAGAAGTGTGTACCTACCAGTAATTGGGTATTTTTGTCTTTGATAGATTTTCAGTGTGCGTTCATTTTGGCGTGCAGTTGTTGTTTGGTTTCTCCTACATATTTTCCATCTGGGCATTTAGTGCACTGAATGAGATGCATTACATTTCTGGAGGTGCAGCTGTAAGATCCAGGAATGGTGATCCGTTGTGGGGTGTAGTTATTGTGGGGGTGATGGAGATGCATTGGCAGGTTTCACATTTCTTTTCCCAGCATGGTCTGGATCCATTCACTGTGCCTTGGGCCATAAGAAGTTTGCTTCTGGTGATGAGGCTGGTGAGGTTCAGTGCTTGTTTAAAGGCTCAGATGGGTGGTCTTTAAGAATTGGGTCTTTTTCTAGTATGGGTTGCAACTGTTTGAGGATTTTCCATATAGGTTCCAGGGAAGGATGGTATGTCATAACTAATGTTGTGCGATTCATGGGAATTTTCTTTTTGTACTGCAGCAGTTTTTCACATGATATCCAAGTGGCTCTTTCATAAATGTGATCCATCTCTCTGGAGGAGTGTCTTTGTTGGGTGAAAGCCTTTTTAAGATCTGTACGGTGATGATCACAGGTATTCTCAGTGCAAATTTGGTAGTATCAGAGGGTCTGGATGTGTATTACAGCTTTCTTGGTGTGTTTAGAGTAATTGCTGGTTCTGTGTAGATATGTATGTTGGTCTGTGGGTTTCTTGTATATGGCAGTTTGTATTTTACCATTCTGGATACTGATCATAGCATTTTGGTGTGCATAGCTGTGCCCATGGTCTGGAGGAAGTGTTTCTGGTTAAAGTAGAAGTCATTGTGCAAGAGGATGAAGTGTATAAGTTCAGTAATAACTTTAGGTCTGTACTTCTGAGTTGTAATTGTGCTCTTGAAGATAAGTAAGGAAGGCCTAAATGCCATCCTCGTGTGGGAGGCTGGGATATAAGCTGGTAACATCCATAATGGCTAGGAGGGTACTTCTGGGAAAGTGGTCTATGTTTTTAAGTTTTCATAGAAAGTTTGTCGTGTCTTGGACAAAATTCAGTCTTTAGTTCCAAAGTCTGTCTGGGTTCCCTTGTTTGTGGATTTTGCAGAGCATGTAAAAAGTCCCTGGATTGGGTAGTGGCAGGATCAAGTGTTATAGTTTCTCTTATAGTTCAGATGGAAACGATGTGATGCTGGTTTGGAGTTTTAAGGTATATTTTTTGAGCATCTATGTGATTATGTATGTATTTTATAGGTATAACATGTATATTATACATTTCTAGGTGGGGGGGAGAAATAAATATTAAAACAACAATCAGAAATTAAATACTACAATACAGGATAGGTTGCTAATACTAATACTAATATTAGGCTTGATTCTATTTCCTAGCATACAGTACTGCTCCCTATTCTTCTAACAATGTGGGTAACATGTAATAATATAGCAATTTAAAGCTTTGGGTCATGAGAGGGAGACTTACTGCAAGGGAATGGGCTTCAGTTGATGTTTCATTTATCCACTCCTATATTTGAAACTTTAAGATTGTTACTATTTAAACCCATTTAAATCTGACATAAACTTTAGGCAAGACTGTTTACAGATACATCAGTTCAACTGAAGTGCATCCCTGAGCATTATGTCCCCCTCATTCTTTTAAGCTGGTATATCATTATGCCTGCCTACATCCTACATCAGTTCAATATGACTCACAGAAAAGTGGTATATTTTAAAACCATTATAATTTTTTGTCTATCCACACTCTAAGTTCCAAAAGGTACCAAATAATTCTATAGCAATTTACATTTCCAAAAGCATACAAACTATTCAGCCTTTTCCCTCCTACTGTGAGGTCAACATGCATTATTAGCCAATTTTTCCAGATAGGAAAAACAAAGGCAAAGAAGTTAGAATAATTTGCCAAGGATCACACCGAAGTTTAGAGTCAGAACCAGGATTTAAATCCTGACCTTCTAGCCACCATAGGCCATTGTCTAAACCAGGGGTTTTCAACCTTTTATAGCCTAAGTACCCCCAGCAGTCGAATGCTGAGTGGGGGCGGGCAAAGGGTTAGCATGCGGCCAGATGCCAGGTGGGGTGTAGCACATGGCCGGACATCAAGCAGGGAAGTAGAGATGGCACATGGGCAGGCAGGGACAGAGCGCCACTGCCACCTCCCAGAAGCAGGGGCAGGGTAGGGCAGGAAAGCTCATCAGGCTGGGGTGAGGGCAGCAGCGCCCCTCCATGAGGTAGGGAAGCCCACTTGGCTGGGGTGTGGCAGCTGCCACCACTATGTGCAAGCTTTCCTGCCCTGCAGAGGGTGCTGCTGCCCTTGCCCTACCCAAGCCCTACTCCTGGAAGGCAGCGATGCTCCATCCCCACTCGCCCGCTTTTACCCCCTAGGACTGGACTAGTATCCCCAGTGGTACACATACCCCTGGTTGACAACCCCTAGTCTAAGCCTTTAGGTCATGATACTTCTCAAAGAAGTGGTTTATTATTTCTGAAGAGTTTACATAGTTCTTTACAGATCTATAAAAGCAGCATCCCTACCTTAAATTGCATAAAACTTAAATTGGTTGTGGCATAGAGCATATGAATTATATGCAACTCAGACAGCATAGGATGCAAAGCTGAGTCAAGAGTGAGTGAAATATTTGTGTGAACTGTTTGTTGACCTTGTTTTATTTGCTGTTCATTAGGATCCATGGCCGTGTGTAGACAAAACAAGAGGCATGTGTGCACAACACTTGAAAGCAGGTTAAATGCTTTTGCACCACTTTAATTGTGTCAGTGTTTGTGTGCTTCAGCAGTGTATTGTGCATTAAGTCCAGCCACTGTAGCAAATTTGGCGGTGTAATGCACCTTAAATAACTTGGGGTGCAGCAAACTAAAACTCCTCCTCCTTCACTCCCTACAGCCACAGAGCAAAGCACTGGGCTGTGTGCAGCTCCACACCTCTGTAGGAAACCCTGCAGGCAGCCTGGCAGCAGCCCAGAAAAGCGGTGAGACTGATCTCTCCCCACACCCAGAGCCTGCCTGCCTTCCTGAGCTGTGCAGGGTCCCAGTGCTTCCCTCTGCAGCTGCGGTGCCCCCCAGGACTGCCCGAGCTGGGTGCCTGCAGGCAGGTGCCACCTGTGGGGGGGCCACCGCTGCCACAGAGGGAAGCCCCAGCCACACGGAGGGAAGCTCAACCAGCTGGCAGCTTGCCCTCCCCTCCCCGCCAGACAGGCAGGCAAGTCATCAGGCTGTGTGCATCACACAGGGGTTTTTTAGAACCCACCACTTCAATTTAGGGGGCCTCATTTCATCTACACACGCCCAAGAGTGAAGTTTTATTCCTACAAATATTCATAGACACCAAAATTGATTTAATCCAAAAACATTATTAATTTTGTGCTAAAGTAAAGGTCTTGGCACACTGAGAGCTCTTTACAGATTTTTAGCTCTCCACTTAACAACTCAAACTACTGAAAAACATTTCAGAAATGAAACAGAACCACACCAAATTTGATGAGCATTCCAAGCCATCTTACAGATAGGAACAAAAATATTCTTTTATTTTGCCCCATAATTTAAGTAAATCTTAAAACTTTAAAACTCTTTGCCTGATATTTACCAAATTTCCTAGAAAATCTCTACCCTAATAGTAGATGCAATATGCAAAGTTTCAGAAAGGTTTATTTTTGTAAAAATTGAGAGTCAAATGAAAATTAGGCTTATAATGAGATCTTAATTCCAGCCTTAATTATAGAGCATAGACTGCCACCGCTAGAGCACAGATGTTTATTTTGAATTTGTACAGACGTTAACCACAGCAACAGCCACACACAAAAAAAACCCCACCAAACTAAAAATATCCCAGAATTACAATAGCTACTTTAAAGCTAAAGAATCCTTATCTATGCAAATAAAATGGTTTTAGATCGTTCTAAACAGAATTAGAGGTGGTCAAGATGCTCTTACTTACATGTTCATTTCCACCACATTCTCCGCTGCAAAATAAAATGTCTTGATCTGTGGGTGGTTGATCTTAATAGCACTTAAGGAAGGGGAAAAAAGACACACATTTTATATTTGTATGTATGCGTACATATATATATGTACATATACAAGAAAAAAGAATTGAAGTAGTTAAGACCATACTATTTGAGAGAATAACTTATCCCAAACACAGCACTTGCATACATTCTAGTCTATTAATAAAGATCAAATAATCTACCAATTAACTTAGCTCCTTTCTCAGAATCCTGTGCCATTTTTAAATCAAGCTGTAAGGGTCACATCATTCTAGTAAAGGTAGAAAAGAACACTGGGTCAAGAGAGCTAAAAGATAAACTTGGATACATTTCTAACATATTAATATTTTGGCTAAGTACAGACAGATATTCATTTTTGATTCTAGAAATGCAGCCACCTGCCTGCCATGGCCCAGGCCAGAAGCCAGGGGGCGCTAGAGCACACCTCCCTGCTCAGCTGGAGCAGACAGCTTGAGCCAAAGCTAGTCTACCCACCCTGCAAGAGGGGAAGGGGGGGGGAGTGTGCAGGAGAGGTGCAAAGCATCCTGGGATGCTGGGGGACTGTGAGTTAACTTGAATCTGGAGGGGATCTGGGGCAGAAGTTCAATAAACTGTTCCAACCTAAATCAGTTAAGTCTGATACTACTTCCATTCAGGTTTATCTTAAACCAGTTTGGGCCATTCTCAAAGTGGTTTATGTGCACTGAACTTCTGTTGTGTTACAGATTTGAACAAGTTTCTGATCATTTATACCAGATTCGTGTGTAATTTCTGTCCCTAGCTCTTGTATTTCAACCCATTTTGGTGGCAAAGCATTAAGAATTAATAATAAATTCCTGTGACAATAATGTAATATAGTGTAACATAATATGCAATAATATCAGCTAACTTAGCTATGGTCCATGCTTGGAAATAATCACAAACAATTTGTTAAGGAGATGCATCAACTAGAGAGAAAAAATTCAAATGCTGAATCCTCACATACTAAAAATACATCTCAATTCCATGCCATCTCTTTGTCAGAATAGTCAACCTGTTTCAAAAGATTAAATGAGAGACTAAAAGTTCATAGACCTGAAACCTGCCATAAGGAACTGAAAACTGGTGTTGTTAGATGGCAGTTGGTGGCTTATGTGAAATGAATTGAACTCTGTCCAAACAGCATACCTAGATAGTGACAGAAAGCATGCATCATCAAACTCGGTGGGTGCATATACATGTGATGCTATGCTGCCGTAGCAATGCACTACCGTGACATAGCATCAGCGGGCACAAACCTTGATGCCGCAGCTATGTCGCCATAGCAATGCACTCCTTTGGCATAGTGTGCTGCTATGGCAACATAGCGGCTAAAAATTACTGTGCTGCTGGCACAGCGGAGTATGGGCTGTTACAGCACCATTATTTAGTACTTCCAAAAGGAAGTACTAAATGACGGTACAGTAACAACGGCACCATAGGGGCACATGTAGACATGCCCTGTAAGTGACAAATTGAAAAAGAAACTTTCATCAATATAGACTGAAGTCACCAATTAAAACACTGGCAAGATGGCATTACAAAAATTACACTTCAGTCATCATTTCTCCATCTGTTTTTGATTAAGTAGAGGATACCAGGCATTCTCTTCTCACAGTGCATCTACATGTGCAATTAATGTGCTTGAATAAACTCTGGAGCTTATTGCTCTGGAGTTTATTGCTCCCAGGTGCACCACTTGAACATGCACCTGGGAGTGCAGCATGTTGAGTTGGGATGGAGCAGCCCCAACTGGCAGGGAACCTGGTGAGGAGGGTCAGCCTGCCAGCTTGGGGCTGCTCAGTGAGCTGCAGAGGGGCTGGCTGGGCACAAGGGTGCTTCAGTGTACGGTTAGCTGGCAGGCAGGCACCTCACTGAAGCACCCTCATGCCCCAGGCAGCCGGGACAGCATCTATATGCGCAATGCTGTGATGTAAAAAACTCCACAGCAAGATAATACCTGTATTTACAAATACTATCCTGCAGCAAAGTTAGTTAATTCATTGCAACCTAATAGAGACTTACGTGTAGATGCATGACTTTTACTGTGCAGCTAATTAATCTAGACTCACCGTCAGAATACCTGAATGCTTTACTTAAGTCACATCTTCCCCAATTTTTTAAAAAGATGCAATCCTTCCTTCTTTCTCTCTATTATTTGGAAAATGAGTAATGGTATACATAAAATTCCAGAGAAGAGATTACTGCACTCCTAAATAGTAAAGTAATTTATGCTGTTTTGATTTAAAACAGTGGTCTCCAACCTTTTTAAGTCAGAGATCACTTTTTGAATTAAAAAGCAACCCAAGATCCACCGTGTGCTGCCTGACCCACAGGTCAGTCTGTGGAGAGGGAAGGGGGGACAAATTGAGGCAAAGGGAGAAAAAAATATTGGGGTGTGCACCCCCAGCAGGTAAATCTGTGGGGGAAAGGGTGGGGGAAGGGGAAAGGGCCATGGCAGGGGGGCAGATCGAGGCCCCTGCCAAGAAGGAGGGAGTGGGGCATAGGCAGGAGCAGGGGCTGCAGTGAGTGGGGCCCTGGCCAGGCGGGGCTCTGGGACAAGTGGAGGCCCAGGGGGCACGTGCCTCCCAGGCCTCCACTTGTCCCCCACTCTGCCCAGCCCCTGCTCTTACCTGTGCCCCACTCCCTCCCTTACCGCTGGGACCTTGATCTGCTCCCACCCCACAGCAGTGAGAGAGGGAGTGTGACTGGAGCATGGGCAGGCCCTGCATGGGTGGAGCATGGGATGAAGCCACAAGTAGCTCATCTGGGGGGCACAGGGAGGGCAGGGCACACAGCCCAGGAAGGTACAGGGGCATGTGCCCCCAGATCTGTATGCCAGCCGGGCCAACTGCCACTGTGAGCTGGGGCCAAGGCAGCACCAGGCTCTTCCCAAGGGGGTCCCCCGAGCTGCACTGCAAGCTGGGGCCTGTTTGTGCTGTGGGCCCCAGCTGTGCTGCATGCCCAACAAAAGACACCACTGCCGAGCACCACTGCTGTCCCACTGCTGCTTTATTGCTCTGAGATGCCAGTAGGGCGGCCTATGTCAGCCATGCGGTGCAGGGAACAGAGGCGGGACTGGAGCAGGGCAGCTGCCCGGGAGTGCTACCGCATGACCCAAGCTGCTACTCCCGGGCAGCTGCCCCACTCCAGACCCACCTCCATCCCCGGCACCATGTGGCTAACACAGGCTGTCCCCAGCTCAGGACCAGCAGCTAAGAGCAATAAAGCAGCTGTGGGACAGCTGCGGTGCTTGGCAGCAGTGTCTTTTCTCCAGCATGCAGCGCAGTTGGGGCCCACAGCACAAACATGCCCCAGCTTGCAGCGCAGCTCAGGTGAACCCCCCAAGAAGAGCCTGAGCCTGACCAGCATGCAGATCCGGGACCATGCCTCCCCCTTGCTCTCTCAGGCTGCATGATCCCCCCTTCCCATGCCCTGCTCATGCAGTGCCTGCCCCTGCTCCAGCCACACTCCTTCTCTCACTGCTGCTGCAGCCACCCACGCTGCCCAATTTTTGGAGGGGGCATGTGCCCCCCTGATCTGTGTGTGGCAGATACGGCTCCAGTTGTGGGCCCCACTGCAGCTGGCCCAGGAGCAGCTCATCACTACATGCCTCCCTCCACTAGGCTGAGCCTCATCCCCTGCCCACCTGGCAGTGGGATGCACATGGCATCAGGCCACTCCTGGGCCAGCTGCAGTGGGCTCTGGGCATGAAGCCCAGCTTGCAGCAGCAGCCACCTCTCCCCACACATAGATCGGGGGACTTGTGCCCTCCAGTGTCTCTACTGGGGTGCATGAAGTGGCAGGGGACCCCCCCCCCCCCCCCACATGCCTGGATGAGCTGCCTGGGCTCTGACCCTCACCTGGCCCACCCAGCTGGGACCCCACTCACCCAGTGGCAGGGGGCACGGGACACCTGGCCCACCCAGCCAGACCTGGCAGCAGGGTTCGTGGGTCAGCCCAGCCATGTGCATCCTGCCACTCTCGATCGCGGTACCTCTAACAGTCCATTTCAGCGTGGTGGGGCTAGCCCCCCTGACTAAGATCGACTGTCAGGGGCTCCCTGATTGACTGGTAGATCGCGATCCACTGGTTGGTGACCACTGATGTAAACCTTTCTGCATTTTGAAAACAATATTATAACAGGTGCTCAATATGGAATAATGGAAGCTAGAAAAACTCTGAGAAAACAAAATGTAATTCTAGAGTCATAGACTTTCCATATTCCTTAAAACTTCATATCTAATGTCTGTTTGCAAGTCTACCCCTAGGTACTATCCATTGTTGTGGTAGACCTTAGGGAGGAAGGTATTTTTTAAAGGCCATAATAAAGACCACATGAGAACTTCTCATTAACATCATTGAATTGTGTTCAGAAACACCGGAAAGCCAGTGCTACATATGAAGTAATGAAAAAATATACTAGGCAGTTATATGTTTAAATTAAACAAGCCCTCAAGTCCTGAACAAATGGATGTTTCCATGTGACCTTCAAGTGTAATTGAAAATAGAGCTCATTGCAAAAATCTTGTCTAAAGAATAGCCTTCATAACTACACAGGTGAAAAACAGTATTGTTCATATCATTATTGACTATCCCACTAAGAACATAAGCTGTTTTTTAGATAACTGCAACAAAAAAGCCCTTGAAATACTAACCTATTGTGCTAAAATACTAAACTTACATACGATACTACACTACTGGCTGGAAAGTTTCTGAAATGGTTTTCTACATCCCTCTCTCACTCTCAGCCTCCTGCCCTGAATATTTTATTACTTATAAAATGGACCTGCTCCAAAAGGGAAACACACTCCGACCCAGTGTACTCTACAGCTTTATGATTAGGCTCTGATGAGATTCAAATCCCTGTCCTGAATCAGGCAGAGTAGGAACTTGAGCTTGTCTCTCAAATCTCAGGTGACTACCTTAAACACTGAACTACTGGCAATTCTGGGGTGGGTGTCTTTTCCCTTCCCTCATCCTACCTGAGAAAGTTTCAGTAGGT